TGCAGCAAAAAACTCTGTCGATATCATCAATGTTCGTCCAATTCGTTTTATTATCAACCAGCCCCTTCAGTTTCAGCTCTGCCAGTCTAGTTAAGAAAAAACAAAAAGTTAATGTGACATCAAAATCTCAAATTAAAGGCATATGTGTATCAGACTATTAGGAGTTTACCCTGTGCTTGCTGTGAACAGAAATTCAGTCTGCTTGGTAAAGGAGAATCTGACTTCAGGAGGTAGGGAGGATGGGCCGTCTGTTTTAATGCAGTGAGGAATTCCTTCCACATACACATCCCAGCTGAGAAAAAGATAGAATTTATATGCTGTTTTATTGTAGTACAGATGTAAAAAATTGTTTTGTTTTTCAAAACAAAGCACATCAGCACATACCCTTCCAACTTAGTAAATTAGAATTTCATCAAAAAGGTAATTAAAGTAAAACTCACAACCAAATCAACATTTTTTGCTCATAAACTAAATAAGCTGTCTTTATGTTTCTGTGAGAATTTTAGAATTTTTTTCTATTCTTTTAGTTCTGCATTATTTTGCTTCAAATTGTCTCACTACTGGTCTCTTCAGTCAAACGGTTCTTAGACATTTGAATTTTCCTATTGGATGCAGCAGGATGACTTGGTACAACTTTGTTACTTGTGGTGTAAAAGCACAGCCCTCCATCCCTCCCCAACTCTTGCTCGCCTCTGTCCGACTGGTGGAGAGTCAAGAGCAAGAAGTGCCGGGCATTGCTAATTGCGTTACTCAGCTTTACAAATGTGTGATTTATTTGCAATGTGGACACAGAGTGGAATGGATCTCCTCTGCTCTAACTATTAGTGAAGGTATAGTATTGAAGGTAGTTATTCACTACTGAAGCGTCACTAAACGTCTATAAAAGCATGTAAAATGATGAAAGCACAAGCAACGGAAACATTAGAAAGAAAGACATGATCTGCCTGTTACATCTGTCCTGTGAAAACAGCAAGAAATGTCTTTTCTAATAGCCTTTTATAGGATAAGTCCTTGTTGTTTTACATCGTTACATTATATTCAGTGTACTTTATATTATTGTCCTTCTTTTAATTCCACTTAAAATCTGCTGTTTTGTGAGCCTTAATGTTTCACCATGACAGATAGAACACTCTTATCTTACCTGGGAGTAATTGCGTACAAGTGCCTCAGACAATCTTTTGGAGCGGTACTTATTACAGTTTATTTTTGTTTCTGTAGAACATTCTGAATAATATTGGTCATGTTTGGTATTGTTGCAATCATATTCATAGAAGAAGTGTATTTGTCCACCTCAGTGCTTATAGAGGAAACGCACAAAATATTCTCTGAAGTACATTAAGAACATTTGAAAAAAAATAGTATCTGTTTTCAATTTGTAATTGCTCGAGACAGACCTGTCTGTCTATAAATTAGACATTTATAATATAACAAGTTTCAGTGTAATATTGAATTGGTGAAGTACATTTACTTCCAAGTTAATAAGATGCACTTGTAAATATAAAGCCAAACAGGGAAAAGGGGTTTTTGTGTTTTTGCCACTCTGTTTTCTCACCAGTAATCTTTCTGACGCTGCTTGAGCTCCTGTTCCCGGCTGTACCTGCCAAGATGATGACTATCTTCGAACCCTTTCAGGGCTGGGAAAAGAGGGAGAAAAAAAAAAATCATGTGATGATGTGTTGGTATTAATTTGCTCTTGTCTCCCTCTAGTTTAATAGAAATAAAACTTTGAACAGAATTTACGGCTGTTCGACGGACCTGTTCCCTCTCTGAAGCGGTGCACCTTGCTGTCACTGATCCAGCGGTAGACGGGGAAGTTGTAAATGTCTCCGTCTGGGGATTTGACTTCCACTTTGGCTGGGAACCAAGAATCTTCTGGGAACAGCAAAAGAGGCTTTTTGTCCAGCTCCACCAGCACCAGCTTGCCAAGGGACATGGGGCAGGAAACTGTAAAAGACGCCACCTAACACAATAACAACAATTTGAAATCATAAAAACAAACCTTCAAGTACATATTTATAGCAAGAGGTTAAAAACGATGAGCCACAGCAGCGACAGAAAGGGTTAGGTCAATGAATACTCATCTACATTAGAGTATCAAGCTCAAATATATTTTGTACATAACAACAGAGAAATATCAGCCTGTATATTTGCAAAGCTAGCAGAGATGTACGTTAAAATAATACCAGCTGTAGTTACAGAAAATGAAGGTTGTTTAGACCTAAAGGAGCAAATTCATGACTCACCTTTTTCTCATTTTGTTTTCAAAACATTTTTATAATTATATACCCTATTCCGTCCACTTCCTAATTATGCATTACTTTGTGTTGGTCTATCACATAAAATCCCAGTTAAATATAATGAAGTTTGTGGTTGTAGCATGAGAAAATGTGAAAAAATTCAGTGACCTTAAATACTTTTGCAAGCCCCCGTGCTTCTCCAGGATGCATTACATGAAACAATGCGATAACTTTATGGCATTAACACATACCCTGTTGTGAAATAAATGACAGTGATTTTGTGATTCTTGGTCTAAAGCTGCTCTACATTTGAATTTGAAGCACAATCTCTCAGACTTACAGCTCCTCTGACAAATGCTGAAGCTCCTTTCAAGTTGAACAGCCACTTGCGTTCACTTTCCCCACTTGTGCCAACCAGCTTAATGAAGACATTGTTGAAAGTGGTGGCAGCGGTGCGATTGGCGGTGTACACAGTTACTTCATAATCCACCATTTTTGCTGTTGAAAATTGATCCACCTTGATGCCAAGAGAGTGAAAAACAACCATCATCAACACTGACTGGTTGGTTGTTCCATTTCATTATAATACAATTCAAAAAGATCGTCCTGATAACTAACAAAACTTTTACAAACTGATGAATGCTACTGGATCACAATGAAACAGACAAATTCAATTGATATAACAACTACAACTAGAAGATTCTTGTTTGTTTCTGTTTTTCA